ATGCCTAATGAGTGGCTTGTGTTGCGCAAAATAACCAAGGTCCTCCACGTAACATTGAATGACTGCTTCGAAGTACTACAGTATAATAGTACATGTACAGTGTAGTGTACCTTGAGCCCCCGCCAACAAACAGGACTCTGTACGTCGATACATTCGAAAAAACCAAGATTCTTTACTGTACTTGGTCGTTGTATTGACATGGAAGAGACATTTAACCAATCAGATAGTTGTCGGATAAATTTGTCGCAGCGGCCATTTTATCTTATGCAGCTTAGGTCGAATGGAGGATACAAAATCGGCCAATCACAGATCCGCCACGTTGTGTCACGAAATCGTGTCCATACACATTTCAAGGGTGAAGTAACATAGAACATTGTTTACTGTTAGCTGCTACTACTACATACAAATATACAGCAGGAAAATCGCTTAGACGGTCAAGCTGGCCTTGAGCTCGGTTTTGGTCATGCCGGTAATTTTGCCCACCTTGGGGCTCTTCACAGGGGTGTTGTAGTTGCACCATACGTAGTTGCCGTTGGCGCATTCAGACCACCCGCACGCCATGGACTTGACTTCGGGGCTCATCATGTTGGAGAAGTGGCCGCACTTGGCCCAGCCCCCGTTGCACGAGTTGTTGTCGTAGTTCCAGAACGTTTCTTCTTCGTCGTACCACAACCACGACGCCCCCACCACCTTCATGCAGTCATTGCCACTTGACCCGCACGCGATGTTGGTGGCCAAGTTTTGCCAGCCAGAGGGCCCCCCGTGCTTAAAGCCAGGGCAACTTTTGGCCCAAGCCTGCATTTTGGGTTCTAGCGCATCGTCCCAAGTCAGCGGGCCGATACCGTGGGCCGCGCGAATTTTGTTGGTTTGGGCAATCAGTTGGTCCTTCACACCGTTGCCAAATCGCGTTGACGGAGTTGGGGCAGAGGTTGAAGAAGGTTGAGTCGTGGGGGGAGAGGTATATGTGGGGGAAGATTGAGTTGTAGGCTTTGGGTTTGAGGCTGACGTCGAAGAAGGTTCAGTCGTGGGGGAAGGGGTGTATGAAGGGGAAGGTCCCGTGGGTTTGGGCTTCTTGGTCGTTTTAGGGCGCTTCGTGCATCGGCGTTTGGTGGTAATAGGGGTGTTCCTCGAAGGGTTAGGAGTTGACATCATTGGGGTGTGCTTTGAGGGCTTGGGGGGGAACGAAGACGGGAACGGTCTGCGAGTGGGATAAGTGGGTTTGCTGGACGAAGGCGTCGACGTAATAGGGGTGTTAGTTGAGAGCTTTGGGACAGCCGATGGGAACGGTTTGGGAGTCCGTTGGCTAGTCGAAGGGGTCGGCTGGCTAGACGAAGGAGTCGGCGACGATCCGCCCAATTCAGGGTACCAGATTTCCTCGGCCACGTTGCACATTCCCTTGCCACTCATTCCTCGCTTCAAGTATATGTACCCGTTCTCGCCCCATTGCGTCCCCCACGAGTTCTTGATCTTGAAGTAATCGGTCGTGGAAGTACCGTACCCGACGGCAATCACAGCGTGGTCAGATTGAGCCCCAGGACACTGCGACACGATGCCACTCTTGTAGTTGCGCCACACTGCGTTGCCAGATTCGACGGCCACGGTGGCGGGCTGGCTTTCCAGAACTGTCATGAGCGAACCCTCGCCAGACGTATACTTGGCTTTGCCAATGCTCAGTTGCTTCTTGGTGCAGCTGGTTTGGCAAGTACCAGTTTGACCACCTTTGCCGGACGTGTACGGGTAAGACTCCTCGGTGCATACGCCTTGTTGCAACCAGCCAATGGCATCCGGAGGGCTCCCGCCATTGCAGCCCTTGTTGCCTCCATTCTTGGAGCAGCTGACCAATTGTTGCTCAGATAAGTCCAAGAGTTCACCAGTGGCAATGCAGTGGGCAGTCTCCACCGTCCCGATTGTGGCGAAGGCCCAGCACGACCCACACTGGCCTTGGTTGGGAATCGGGGAGTTGCACTTGGATGTCGACCAGTCCGCTTCAGAAGCGCGCTCATTTGCCAACTCGGGCAAGGGTGCGGCGTTGGTAAAATTTTGTCCCGCAAACGACTTCATCAATATGCCCTTGAACTCTTCGTCGGTCAAGAGAGCAAACTGGTTGAATGGACTGAACTCGGCGTCCGGGTTGGCTTCGGTAGCGCGCTTAACCTCTTGGACGGTGTGGTGGAAGCGCTCGAGTTCATCGATAGAATGGCCATTGACTCGGGCAGATTCCGTGTTGGTTCGGGGAAAGAAACCGTTGACTTGGGCAATAGGGCCATACAACGCCTTCCACTCGTCCAGTTGTTGCTCCAACGAAGTTTGTTCCGACGTGCTGAGCGATTCAAACGATTGTCGGGCAGCAGACGCACTGGTGGCGAGCGTAACGACAAAACTGGCCTTCATGGTGGTGGTTGATGATGAGGCAAATGGAATTATGATCCAGTATCGTTGAATACCTACATTGCACACCAGTAAAATCACGGTAAGGTACGAGACTTCTGAGACCCATTCACATACATATTGTATTCCACGCGTAAAAGCATGGCCGTTTCATGCTCAATGTGATTGGTCCAAATACTGTCGTGCATTGACAATAATGAGGCTGTATATAAGTTACCACAATGGATAAAGGGATTAACACTGCAGAGTGAAAACTTGTGTATTCTGTGCAGTATCAGCTTGCTATGGATTCGGAGATGTTGCGAAGAATGAAGGGTAACTTTAATCAAAGTTTGCACGATACAACCACCGTAAATCTTCTCAATGCTTGCATCATTTATCAGACGGTGGTGAGGAACAGTGAGGAACAGCTGTAGTAACGTTATTATCGAATGTGGTGAGTTTGGATTATCATTTAAGACATTCCTCCGCCAGGCCGATACTAGAACCACATGTTGTGGAACTGCTTCGCCAATTGTAACGCGCCTGTTGGACCAAGGGCGGTGTGTAATCTTCGGGTTTTACTTCGCTCAACGCTTCATACCTCGTGCTTCGAGCGATCTTCTTCGAAGTTTGGTCCTCGTCTTCGTACGCAGCCCAGGGAGGGACGGATAAATCCTTGCGGAAATAATCTGGGGATCGAACCTACGACCTTTGAGTTAAGAAACCGATGCTCTACCACTGAGCTATTTTTCCTCCCTATTATCGAGTGTGGAAGTACAGGTAACGAAGGAAAACTTCACCAAGTGGTACTTCGATTTGCATTAGAATTGGTATTACTAGTATGAGGTATAAGATTTCGAAGTTGACTTTGGGTGTAACGTTAACGTTATTATGAGGCACTAGTAATGTGTAAACTTGCAGAATATTTTAATTCTTAAAATATGGTTGAGTACCACTGGGCGGAAGATTTCCGTCGTTACCTCGACCTAATATCTGCTTCCAAGTACTACAGTAGTATTAATACTAGGAAGCTATGGGAAAACGTTCAATAAATCTGAATACGTGCAGCCAAGACTGAAAACCGTTGAAGCAAATTTTCTCCCCGTAACCCTCTAACCCTGGGACTTCGTCCTACCCCCGCGTGCACATACTTTGAAGTATAATGCTAAACCCCTAGTATGAGTTGAGGTGGTCAGAGTACAAAAAATATGCCTAATCTAACTAGGGATTATTAGTTTGAACGGTCTTGGCTGAACAGTATTCAGATTTGTTGAACGTTTTTCAGGGTTACTAGTAGTCATTAATACTATTAATAGTAGTAAATACTACGTAGTAGTATTGCGGATTTGGTACAGAATTCCAAATTCCGTCGAATCGAATCTCGCCGACTGAACCTATCAAAAACCTCGCCCATTGGCTAATCCATTCATACTATAATATGATTAGCTACTCAGAAATCGTGACGCACTGCAACTCACTCCACAACATACATGCGGACACAAACTTGCAGACACTCCCGTGAGGAACACGATATCCTCACAATGCCCACGTCCAAGCCCACAACCAGAGGTGGGGGCGCACTCAACCTCGTTGTACGAGCTCACACTTGAGCCTATGGTCAAAGAGACTGTCGGTCAGCGCAACACGTCCGCTGTCAGGTTGGCAACGTTCGACTGTGGTGGTGTGTCGTGGAGTGAAATGAATCGTTTTCTCGTCCTTCCCATAGATCACTGCCAAACAAGACTTCTTCATCCCTAGGAAGTAGTAGTCGTAGAGGAATAGCATCGGAGTGTTGGGGCTGGCTTGTCGGTGGAAGACAACATAATAGCGCTCATGGTATCGACAAGCTGCCAGAAGGGCGTGTGTTTGGAAATGGCGCGCAGATGTGAAACTGCCAAACTCACAGACAAACCAATCAAACGCCGTCGCGTGGTTTATGAAATAGGGCCCTGAACCTCTCCATATTCGGAAATTCCCAGCAAATCGACAATACTTCGAAGTATTAGTACTACGTGCTAGTAATGTAGTAGTACTTAGTACACATGACGTCAATGAGTACAGCTGTAGTACGTACTGTATGAACTACTGAGATCTTTGGTGTGCAATGTCAGCGTCCAAAAGTCAAACGACTATCCGGTAGAGACTACTGGATAGCCAAGGTACGGCCGAAAACTTACGATGTTTATATCACAGAGGATATATTGTCCCAACCACTGCTTTTTTTTGTGAATTCACATGTCAAAACGATACTAGGTATGGCATTACGGTGAGATATTTTTTCTTGGTCACTTTGCCTTCAGAATTAGAAAGAGTCAGGAGTTTTTGTACCAACGTTACTAATACTACTTAGTAGTACACTGTAAAGTGTGTACAGTAAGTACTATTAATAGTACAGTACGGCAGAGTTCACGAAATTGTTGCACCACTACCGGTAGCACCACTACCGGTAACGTATACTGCAATGCAAAAGCAAAACCTACGACTTGGTTGTCGAACGCGACTGGTAGAGGAATGTTGGAGAGTGTAGGACGAATCTAGGAGGCCTGCCCTTGTCCATGGCGATGTCTGAAAGCAGAGCATTCTGACGACGTGCGCAAGGCATGAAGGTTGAGCGCTTAACGTTACATGAAGCAGGAGTGCGGGTGCATCTATCAGTTATCGCAATCTCTACCGACCAAGTCGCACCCACAGCCACTCGTCGATACAAACCAGAACTAGTTAGTAATTCCCAGAAAGCAACAGGTCCACTACCGTATGGCTAACTATTAGTACGCAATTATTTCACTTATTCCTATTATGCCATACTCAAATGCAGTGTAAACCAAAACAACGCATTCCAGCTTCAAGTGCATTTCAGTGGTTAGCGATAACTACCACCGGTGATGTACTTACTTACATATGCACTTGTAACCCCGGGAATAGCAGCACAGGCAGTCCGGGGGTTGCTGTAGTACTACGTGTAGTACTACATTATGGAGGGAAATGGATTCGTAAGCAACAGTGGAACTGTTGTTCTCACGGAATTATACGTACTATACACCAGTAGTACTCGTACCCCTAGGGGATGCAGGAAATGAACGAAAACTCGCGATTATCTCGCATGTCGACTAAGTCTGCCCTTCATGCAACATGTTACCGTTACTTCAAAATGTTGACTTCATACGTGAAGACACGAGGATGTTGGGATGCAAGTACAGCGGTGGTGTACACCAGTTTGCCTGATATCTCCGACACCTTGTATTTCGGTATTCTGATCAACTTTTTATATAGAACTTTGTATTGAATTGTTTTGTATGGTTTTGTTACATGTGAAAATGCATGATCATTTAAAAATTGACATGTATACATACTGCGCTTGCACATGTGCGCATGTGTGGAAAGTCCAAGCGCAGGTGGTCAAATTCTCGGGAGTGACGCATGGAGATGAGCTGAAACTGTAAGATCATGTACTCCACATGTGTAGGAAGGTAGTGCATGCAATCATTCTTACCAACGTGAAGTACAGAGGATGAAAACGATGACGGTGGAGGACGAATTTGTAGTTTTTCGGGCACATGCGTGCACATGCGCATGAGATGCCGCTATCTACAGTACTGGCAATAAGTTTAAAGCCACCCTATAATTGGTGTGGTTTGAAGATTCTATTGTAATCATGGTCGTGCCAAGTTATTCAATCAATTCAAGCATC